TTCCAGGAATTTGTCTATTTCTTCAACATTTTTTCATTTAATTGCATAGAATTTTTTTATTGTTCATTGATAATATTTTATATTTCTGTGGTATTAGTTGTAATATCTAATTTTTCACCTATTATTGAGCTTATTGAGATCCTTTCCCTTCTATTCCTTGTCAATCTAGCAAAAAGTCTATCAATTTTGTTTAACTTTCCAAAGAACCAACGTTTTGTTTTGTTCTTCCTTTGTCTTTTTTCTTGTTTTCCATTTCTTTTAGTTTTGCTCCAAATTTACTTATTTCTTTTCTTCTGTTGGTTTTGAGTTTAGTTTGCCCTTCCTTTTCTATTTCCTTGTGATGTGTCATTAGGTTGTTAATTTGTAATCTTTCTATCTTTTTTTTTTTATTTCAGGGTATTATGAAGGTACAAACATTATGGTTACATTTTATTTCTGTGCCTCACTCTAGTGAGGGTTAGAGGCATGCTCTTCTCCTCTACAATGTTCCACATGTCCTTTAGTTGTGATTTTCTTTTTCATGTAGGTATTTAAAGCTATGAATTTTCCCCATAGGACCGCTTTTGCTGAATCCCATAGATTTTGATAGCTTGTGTTCTCTTTGTCATTCAGTTCATGGAATCTTTCTCTTTTTTTTATTTCAGCATATTATGGGGGTACAGATGTTTAGGTTATGTATGTTGTCTTTGTGCCCCTTCCCTCACCAAGTCAGATCTTCAAGCATAGTTCACGGATTCTTTAGATTTCCATCTTAATTTCATTATTGACAATAATCATTCAGCAGCAGGTGGTTTAATTGCAATGACTTTGTGGAAATTTGAGTGTTTTTCTTGGAATTGAGTTCTGGTTTTATTCCACTGTGGTCTGAGAAGATACGTGGTATGATTTTGATTTTCTTTGAATTTGTGGCTTAACATGTTGTTAATCTTAGAGAATGTTCCATGTGCCGATGGGAATAATGTATATTCAGTAGTTTTGTGGTAGAATATTCTGTCAACATTAGGTGTGTTAGGTCCATTTGTGCTAGAGTCCCATATATGTCTAGCGTTTCTTCATTTATTTTCTGCTTCAATGATCTGTTAAGGTCTGTCAGTGAAGTATTGAAATCTCTGGCAATTATGATGTTGCCGTTTACTCTTTGCTTGATCTAGTAGAATTTTTTTATGAATCTGGGAGCTTTTGTATTAGGTGTATATATATTTAGGATTGTTATGTCTTCTTGTTCAATTGCTCCCTTTACCACTATATAATGATCATCTTTGTTTTTCTATACCACTGTTGATTTAAAATCAATTTTATCCTATATGACAATGGCTACATCTGCTCTCGTTTTGTTTCCATTTGCATGGAATATTTTTTTCCATCCCTTCACCTTGACTATGTGAGTCCTTGCAGGTTAGCTTTGTTTCCTGGACTCAGAAGAAATTGCGTTGCATTTTTTCATCCATTCAGCCAGCCTATGTCTCTTGAGTGGGGCATTAAGACTACTGATGTTGAGTAATAGAATTGATATGTGGGATGTTGTTCTGTTCATCATGTTGGGTACTACCTTATTGCTTT